AATAAGAATTCTTTAAAGTAATGTACATAAGAAAAATTTATATTAAACTAAGGTGCTAAAATTTTTCTTATTGTTCTTCAACAGTGCTGCCAATTTATCATCAAGTTTTTCCATGGCGTATATTCTGAAGCAATTCTGACTCTTACGCCAGTGAATCTAACAACCGTCTGGATCCTGCCATACTCTTTCAGGCGCTGTTAATGGAGTTCCTGCTATTAGTCTTGAGAATGGTGTTGTTACTATTCTTATTACTATTTTATCAATTTGATTGTGTTTGGTGACCACTAAATTTGCTGTTTACCGATTGATACTGGTGTTACTTTTGCGACCGCATAACGATCACTCTATGGTGGGGGTCTATAAACATTGTCATTTCTTGCGAATACTGGTGTGGTTGCAAGCCATGTTTCTGTAGATACTGCTAAGTTAGCGTTATTCGAAGTTATCGGCGGTTTAAGCTCGCATATGCATTTACGTAAATTTGCAAATAATTCAGTTTTGTGGTTTTTGGCAGCACTAATTTTTAATTTAAAACGTTCGCGTAATAACAAGTTATTATGCCGAAAACCATTTTAGCTGGTAGTGTTGATGTACCCTCCAAAAGAATGTTTTGTGACCAAAAAAAAAGTCATTGGTAAAATGTCAATCTATTTTTTAATGCTGTAACAGCTTGATTATGGCTTTGTGACAATGCCTGATCAAATTACGTTTAATAGCAATAATCAAAAATGATATCCTAGATCAGATGTAACCTGATCGCTGACGGGATATTGTGTAGAGTGATGAAAACGATTTTTCGAAAAGGTTGAATAAGTAATGACCAATGCAAGACATGTTGTTATATCACAAAAATACTCTAATGAAGATATAGACAAATTAAAAAATTGTCTTAGAACAGTTTGAAGTTGATGTTTTCTTTCTAAGTTAAAGCTAGTTTTTATATTAAATTATTTTAATCTAATGTATAGTTTTTAGATATGAGATTGCATCTGGGACTTAGTTTCGAATTTTCTGTTATCTAACGTCTATCGACGGAAAATTGTCATATTAAACTAAGTCAATTATAATTATTAAAAATAAAATTTGAATTTTTATATTACAAAGGCTAATGAAGGATGATATAATAGTTAATATCTAACTATTACAACTATATTATAATGGCGGTATAATTGTAATATTCAACTTGCTGTTGCTGGTTTTTATTGAGCTCTATAACTGAAATTACTACTACTGTGTATACCAACAATTTTGGTAAAAATATTGGCATCTTTTATAATTGCACCATCAGACTTTTCCGCATATTCGGATGACGTCTTGATCTAGACAAACTTCGACTTCCATTATACGAGAGAGCATTAATTTGCATTGGTAAAGCTGTAACTTCTTGCAATTCTTGTAAAATACTTGATTTGTTGCCATATGTTCAATGAATCAATTTAATCATTTAATTTATAATCAATCAAATCAAATCCGCGTTTTAAAAATGAACTGCGTTTAAGTGATAAAAAATAAAAAATCCTAAACAGCTAAATTTTACAAGTTTTTTTATAAGAAATGTGCAAATATTAGTCCTTTTGAATAGTGACTTTCAAATTATGCAAGAAATACATATATTATATTAAAAAAATTTTTTTTTTGCTTTTAATACATCACCTTAAATTTCTTATCATTTTTTTAACTAGACATATTTTTCGATTCTATTAGTCCTGCAGTTTGAACTCTCCTTTTCATATTGTTCAAGATACTGAAGTCACATTATAGTTATTGAAATTATGACATACGTACTGTTATGTGCAGAACATCATCTGGCTTATCGGTTTTCATAGAAGAATATTGTACAAACTTATATTTTTCAAAATATTCTTTAAAAGATATTCTCTTATTTTCAATTTTGTGAAATGTTTTCCTTGTTGAAAAATCAAGTATTATCCCAGCTCTTTGAAAATAAGCTAACTTATTTAAATTTTTAAAGCCAACATAGATCCGTTATCAAGCTTTGGAGAACAACATTAAACTTTAACATCAAAAATCTACACACATTTCAATCACATTTCTCTACGCCATATGATCAACCATCCTTCGCATGTAACTAATCCCAAAATTAACTACAAATTGGAAGTCCTTTCACTAAATGATGAAGTTAAAAATGAAAAAAAACAGAACAAATAATAAAGTTTCACACCAATAATCTTACTTCAAGTCTAAAATACCTCTTTTAGTCTTTTGGTGGATAGTATTCCATAGGAGATACAAGGAATATATATTTCACATGAAGCAATCCTTCCAACAAAGTAATTTTTTATTAACACCGAATCCAAAAAAAAAAAGATACAAACAAAAAATAATTTTCTGATAATGCACTTTCAAGCACATATGTGTATAGTAAAAAGTAGAAAACGTTTTTCAGTTTATCAGAGGAATCAGAGGAATAGTTAAGACTAACATTCTTTCGAGGTCATTCCAATAACTGCGTACATAATGATACTTTCCTTGTTCACAAATTTGTTTAATGAAATATCTGACATCCATCAAAACACTAATTTTTTTGATCTTGGCTTCTAATCCGATTTTGAAACCGGTAGGTTATACTGGAGATCCCAAGGGATTTACTTAGGCCTATAGGTTCATTGTATTACCGTAAAATCACAAGCTCAAAGGATAGAAACACTTAAAACCTTTGGCAAAGCTAATCATGCTATTCAGGAGAAGGTCTTGCAGTTTGCCAAGATCCTCTCAAAACAAAGCCCCTAAAGTGATAAAGCGGCGCAGCACATATGCTGGACAGAAACAAAGAAAATGGGAGGCACTTTTATCATGCTCTCCACAACTGTTAGTCTTATAGCATGGTTTACCGGTATGTAAACTTGTTTTATTCAAATTTCTAATTTCTTCAGGTGGTAAAATGAAAACTAATCGTGTTTATTATGTAGATTATTTTACATTACTACACATTCAATATTGTAATAAATCACATAATTAATACAAAGTATCCTGTCCCTTCTACGCTAGTTGGATCGAATAAGCCCGATCCGATCCAGCTAAACATAATGTGCGGTACATTATGAACATTATTCCAACTATATATGGTTACGTATGGATTTAATGAAGTCATCGCTATATTAACATAAATTATCACAAAAATATACATAGAAAGAATAGAACAAAACTCCCACAATAATATTGTACATATATGTATATATATACTTATTTATACATATGTACTAATTTTAGTTTCTAACATTTTCGTTACAATCTCATGAGAATACAAAGCAATATATAACTCAACTTATGTTCAATTGCCTTTTTATGCTGTTTTCTGTAATTTGCGTTGTACCGTGCAATTAAATCAATTTGTTCGAATTTTTTATATATATTCACATTTTGTAATAATTTCTTAAAATATTCAAAATACCCGTAATCACCACGTAATCTTCGAAATTTGCATTCGTCAAACTGGAGTGCAGAACATTATGCTTGCTCTGACCCTTCAGATCTTTATCAAGTTCATTATGCACGTCACGTCAGCCTAAACTGCCGTCTGCATTGCAGGATTTAATGCGTGCAAGAAGATTGAGAACGAGGCTGCTCTAAAATGATTGTCAATAAGTGGAGATAAAGCGACGCAAAGCGTAACTAATTTTGTAGAGTAGTGAAGTGCTAAGGAAATGTTTAAGTACTTTGTCAAGTTTAAGTATTCAAAACCAACGCCAGCAAAACTTTTTATGGGTAACTGACCTATGACAGCTTTTACCGCATTCATCGCCTGTGTAGTTGCTTACCACAAAATTGTTCCAGCTTTTGTAAATCTGATATTACATATTCTTATTGCTGTATTTGTATCTGAACTTGTGCATTTGAAATTTGATTAAACAAAATCTCTAAATGAAAAAGAACAAATGCAAATGCAAATGCAAATGCATATTATATCTCTGCAGAGATGAGGTATAGTTGCGCGCAGAATTCTATCGATATAACAAAGTCGCGAGATCAAACACGATTGCCCCGAAGCGAACGTGGAAGGAGGCATCTAGTGCACGCTTCGTGGTATCGCTCATAATTTAAAAAACTCGATTATCAGTGCGGATCCTTGCACAAATATTTCAAGAATGTTTCTTACTAATATGCTGCGGCATCTCTTGTCTTTCTAGGGCTGCATCGAGGCACGAGCAGAGCACTTGCACTTGCATCAGCACTCACAGCACTCACAGCAATCACAGCAGTCACAGCATCCACAGCATCCACAGCAGCAGCAGCAGCAACAGCGGCAGCATCAACAGCAGCATGTGCTCATTTTACAGAAAATACAAGAAGTAAGGAGGCAACTACACTTTTTAGCATACTTGGCTGCTGCTGACTGGCTGCATTAGCGGCTGCCTTAGTCACAACTACGACGGTGCCACCTATTCTGCTTTTCTGTTCTATACTTTTGTTTATTTATTAATGCTTTTTATATTTGACGTTTGTTGTGTTCTTGTTTACATACGAAAGAGCACTACGTTTGGCAGATATACATACATACAAGTGCTATGTAAGAACGTTTAAATGTTTTGTTTTCGCTTTTTATTTCGCACAAAAGCTTTCTGGCTCGAAACTGCACATCATTAATGCGTCCTCCGAAAACGTAAAATATGAAGAAAATGCTTAGCGAACACAAAAAATAAAGTCAAGCAAGCAAAATCCTATAATTAAACAATTATTGTAACTCCCACTTTTTGCTCGTGGGCATTGGTTGGACCTTACGCTATGTGCGCTACTCCTCCTTTTTGAGATCAGACCCGCGATCAAAAATGCATCAGAGCATCAGCTCTAGAGTTTTACAAATGCGTCAGAGATTTGTGGCAACAGCTAGTGAACCACCTCCGTCTGACTATAAATCTGACTCTATCTACGCAGAACTTTAGCAGTGCTAAGTAAGTTAAGTTAAAAATTTGATGTCTCTTTACTTATGTGCTTATTTGCTTATTTACTTATTTGCTTATTTTCGCAATTTATATTGCGAACATTATTTTCATTTTTATTTCACATTATTTTCATATAAAAGTAAACTTATTGTATATTCCACAAACTGACAACTTAAATTGTTACAAATCTCTCTCTGTTCGCATGTCAGTGACATATCGAGAATCACTGCACAACCAAACAGCGGCTCTCCTCCACATTTTGCTTACGTTACTACCGAGTCACCATCATAATTATACACCTTATTACGGGACTTCCCTCTCTCTTAATGCAAACAGTAATTATGCGAAGCTTTCGTGGAATTTCTGAAAGCGCGTCATTTATGCGTCCGAACTGACACACCAGGACTGGGCGCTACACTGCGATACTGCGATACTGCAAGAGCATGTGCTTCTAACATTAACGCATTGTTTGCTCTTTTTTGTGATGTGCTCTAACAGGTATACTTAAGTATAAGGCTGCATCTGCACATACAAATCAGTAACGAATAAAACATTTTTGGTCATCTAGAAATATTAATGAGCTCCAGTTCAGCCTACGAAGGAGAGACGTAAACGAAACAAAATCAAAAGCACAGAAATGAACATATGAATTATTCGATTTTGGGTTCACCCCCGAATTCCCTCATTCTTACCTTTGTGCACTTGATCGACTAAAATCTTCTCACTCCTTATGCTGCACGAATGACGAGGGCTTCGCTATGTGATGTCAGTCATCTTTAATCTTCAATACGGCCGAGTACTGAGTAGCTTCATTCTCAATAATTAGGCAGAAGACAGTCAAGCAGAAGTCAAGGGCTGCATTGTCTTAAGCTAAAAAGAATAAAGCAAAACAAAAGACAAGAAATTATTAAAAATGAATTAGTAACATTCAATATTTACATCGCATCGTGTATAATTACACACACAATGTTTCGACTGTTATAGAAAACGCACGTGCTCCCAGGGTAATTTATTACTCGCAGGCACTATTACTGTCCGACAGACATATATACATATATACATATATACATATATATATATACAGATTTATACAATGCATAAAGTAAGTATAGTTGTTATTTAGTTTCGAAATAGAAAACCCATTAAATACTAATCTATTTTCAATTTCTCAAGATTAAATATGTCTAATGATGGAAATGACTGTGATTAAACGGGTAAACGGGTAAACGTTGCCTGCAGCATGCACAATAATCATTTACTTTGGATGCATTGCATCATTGAAGGTGGCTACTTTGCTACCCAAAATATTCTGGGATCATTAAACAGATCAAATACTCCCAATTGCTCAAGTATTTTGAAATATTGTTACAAACACTCGCATATGGATACAATTACACACATATATAAATTAATAACAATATTAAGAGTATAATTGCATTAAATATTTGTGCATAATTCAAGTAGTTTTCATAGGCAAACATTAATCAAACATCGCTTTCGGTAATTTCAGCCATTAAATGATTGGAAACCTAATCGAAATGAAATCCAAGTTTCGCCCATCGGCTTTTAGAAATTGGATCTGAGTATCATTTAAAATCAAAAATTTCATTTCTTTCTTTCTTCATATATATCTCACATACATAAACAATATTACACAGTGATTTTAAATTCATAGCAAAAATTAAAAAAATTGTAAGGTGTTTAAATAATTTTAAAAAAACTCCAGTTGTTTTCCTTACAATTTAAAAACTCTCGCAAGACACAGCGCATGATCTTGGCACCTAATTCTTATCAGTAAATCGAACCGGGACGTGTTGTATGGCTTATGACACATCCATATTTTGAATTTCCCGCCAAAAAAATTCTAATCATATTGTTGTAGTGAACGACATTGCATTCGTTAGGCTTCAGTTCTTGTGCAAGTTGTGTTTTATAATGAAAATGCAAATTGGAATCCAACAATAAATATATGCCGTTAGAGAGTCCAAATGCTATGAAGTTATTGTCCTTGGGTATTCTTCAATACTTTCATTAAAAACAACAATATTTTTAGTCGAGCGTGCATTTCGATGATGTCTAGTCCTCAGCATATATGTTACAGATACAATTTTTTCGAATTTCTTCACAGTTTTGTGTATAGTGCACTTAAATGCACGAAATACATGCGTAACGGATATGTACCAGAGTTACCATTTTCGTATTAATTTTTCACAATTTTATCACATTAATTGGTTGTTAAACGATCCATATTGTGAAATGACCGTAAGTAGTTATCTGAGACATCATGTATTTAGCTTAAGGTTAAGCTTGCCAGTTCTGTTTGGCATAACTATATATTTGTTATTAAAATAGTGCTATCAAATAAGGAGTACGTGATGAATGACTCTTTATATAATTACAGTGATTCAATAATAATCAAATAATATATAACTTGCCAGAAAGTAAGTCTGTTCCAGACGGGTAACTACACCAATAGCTAGTAAAACCAAAACCTATGGTTACAGGCTCCTCGGGAAGGTATACAGATCTGAGTTCAGTTATGGCTTAGTCTGATGAAGTGGTAAACAATAATCCAGTCAAGGCGTAGAAATGGATTATGAAGAGTAAAAGTGCTCAAGTGCACTGAGTCGACTATCCTCAACATAGTAGTATAATTATTTAGAAACTAAAAAAAAAATATGTTGTAAATTAAAACGATTAACTATTCAGTTTAGAAATCTAAAATGTCAATTTTGCCAAAAAAATTGCATTATATAAGAATTAAATATTTAGTTGAGTCTAAAAAAATAATAAAAAAAACATCCATTATCATTTATAGAGTTTTTTTTTATAAGATCTATACTGCAAAATTTTATTTTGTATATTATTGTATAAACAATAATTAGTAATATTGTTACAGACTTTTGTTCATAGATGGTCGAATCTAATCAATTTATGTACATAATCTTTTATAAGACTTTTCACAAATATAAATAAAATCAGAGAAAGATTCTAAGTAGAAATATAGATTTTGAGAATCTATGTATACATGATAAGCCAGCCACGTGATTTACCTTATTGGCCAAGAAATATCACCCGTGTTTATAGTCTAATCGCTTTATTAAAATTATATACAGTCAAACCTCTCTATAACGAAGTCGTTGGTGACTACAAAAAACTTCGTTATAGAGAGGTTGAATGATAAAATACAAAGTAAATAAACCATTACTTGATATTATTTATTTCATATGTTATTTCAAACAATAAAATAAATTTTTTTAATGTATTAAAATGTTCAACACAAGTGACAAAATAATTAACAATTAACAAAGTGTTCAGAACTCTTAAGAAATGATGTATGGAAACCGGAACTTTAATTCATTTACATTCATTTACATTTAATTTTTACATTGTAATTCCTAAAAAACAAAGAAGTAGTTAAACAATAATAATTCAATTTGTTTCCAAAAAATTAATTTTATTTATTTATAAATTTATAAATTAATTTATTTTAAAGATAAAATTTTTTTTTAATACAGAGGTTTTTCGAAAAGTAGTGAACTACAACAACAAAAATTATTTTTATTTATAATATTTATTTGAGTTTTTGGCTGACCATATAGCCATGTTTTTAATTCTATATTATTGATAAATGATATTTTTTATTATAAATTCCAAATTTACAATCCTATTATGGACAATCCTATTATCATCTTTATGTTATTTAAAATTAAATATATCTTTTTAAATCAAAATGAGAATAGGTTGACATTTAAATTATTATTATGTTGAGGCTACTTGAGTCAGTGTACTTGAGCACAACAGCTGATGATTTCGTTATAATATAAACTCAGCAAGTCTATTTGTTAATAATACTTCCACAGTAAATTAACAAAACTCCAGAAAAATGTGCGAATATAAAGAGTCAAATACGGCTTTAGGCCAGTTAGTTAAGGAACGCTGATTCTGAGCTTCACATTTGGTAGGACCCGAGTTCGATTCTTGGTACTTGCAGTCTTAAAAAAAATTATTTACGAATAATAAAATACAAGAAATATTTCCAAGACTACTGATGATGGGTATTTAGCAATACTCGAAACAGCTGTATGGTCAGCCAAAAATTCAATTAATTAAAATAATATAAAAATAATTTTTGTTATTGTAGCTCACTACTGTTCGAAACTTCTCTATTAAACACCACAGTTTCTGTTAAAGTAAAAATAGTCATTTCTGTCATATTGCCGTTAAAATTAAATTTAATGATTTTAAATTATTAGAATTGTAGCTTTGTAAGCCAACAATTACTAAATATAATTTTTTAAGTCACTAATAAGGAAAATAAAACTATTAATATCACTTTTTAGGAATATCCAATTCAATTATCCAATTTCTTTTATTCCAAACTTAAACAACGAAAGTTCCGTGCAGCTTTGGCTCGTTTGATTAAAACATTCAAAGATATTGCGTCTAATTTGATCCTTTAAATTGGGTCAAAGTTTGAAAAAGGCGAGTACTGATGATCAAATAATTATATACATACAAATAAAGCCAACGAATATTTCCGAAGACTACTAAGGATGAATAATAGTCAATACTCGACCAATAAAACAGATAAACTTAGAATTCTTCTAGCTCAGCTTAAATATAATGCAGATATATTACTTTTGAAATTTATCACTAAATTATTAAGTACTTTAAACTACTTTATGTTTAATTAATAAAAATTGATCACAGTTTCCTAATCTAAAAGTGAATTGTGAATATTTTTAAGAATTTTACCGGAACATTGCATAATTGTTGAATTTATTGCAATTTAGTAATTAATTGTTATTTTAACTATTTTTGCGACATCTGATATCATTGACAGCTTATTATTAATAAAATAGTAGTATTAGTCCCAAAAATCTAGCTGGTTTCAATTTTACAATGATTTTAAAATGATATCAAAATACAATACATATCAGACCTGATAAAAAGATAGTTTGGTAGATCTATGAAATAATTTTTTTGCTATAAATACATAGATTAGAAAAGTCAACGACTGAATTTAATGTTCCAAAAATTGTGGGTGAACTAACCAAACTTTAATTTAACCCAGTTAATTATTGTTTTCTAGACGTTACTGAAAGAGTCATTAAGAGTCAGAAATTGAATATTATACGCATATACCTATACTAACATATAGCTATAGTATTTTGGGCTGCAAACAACCTTTACATGAAGAGGTCGTGTATTTAGCAATTTATAGCGAGGTGAATATTGTAATATTTTTTAAGTAATAAAAAGTAAAACATAATATTTTTAAATACAATGATTATAAACCTTACTTAAGTCGTCTTTAATGTTCACTTTAATGTACTAAAACAGTGAAATCAGTTGAACAGGACATAAAGAAATCAGAAACAATCTTTTTTTTTAGAGTCTTAAATCTATTCTGCATAATTATAAATTAATATATTCCTTAACACATTTACTACAAATTGTAGAATATTACAGAATGAATTAAACTTGACTAGAATAAACAATTCTAGAATAAATAATATATATTATTAAACTAAAATGAATCAATTCTCTACGCTTTTTTGGTGCCTTAAAAATCTGAAATCTGTTTTTTGTATAGTGTTGTCAATGATTGAAGAGCCGTCCTCAAAACTCAAATAATCGTAAGAATAATGTAACCCATTTTATTTAATTATACTAAATGTTGAATATAGCTAAAAAGGTAATTATAATTACACTTAGACTTAAATCATATATAGTAAAGCGACTCTACAAGTTTTTGACAAAGTTTCTCAAAATATATAAAAATTATATTACGTATAGAATTCGTGACACTTATAGAAGTTTTTTTTTGGACCCATTTTATATACAAATAGTTTTTACATCCGTATGTTACATTGTATGAAAAAAGGTACTATTTTGTTATAACTTTCCTACTTCTTGAATATATAAACGATGAAGTTTCGAATCTAAAATTCCTAGAGGCAAATATGCATGAAAATTGCTCTCATACCACGTCATATTCATATATAATATTATTAACGACTTTTAAATTCACTTAGAGATTTAAGGGGCAAATGCGTTTGACCCAATGAAGGAGTAATGCGAATATATAGCCTAGCTTTCTCAACTATCAACCTCACCTACCAATAGCGCATCCTGTTTTTCATATACGACGCTATGGCGACCGAGTATAGGTGGTATAACCTGAAAACATATATAATTGAGCGAAAATTCTCTAACTACGAAACACCAATCCTATCTCCAGGTTAGCAAATAACGAGATCTGGCCCTTCAGGTTGCCACTACGTAACCCTTAGGGAGGCCAAGGTTCACACCGGACTGTAATGCTAAATAAGAAGAAGAACTTCAATTACAGAGAAAATTTAAGTTTCAAATATTAAGCGAGACTCCAGAGTCCTGATCATTTAATGGGTCTTTGATGATTGTCTGAAGCATAAACCCTAAGCATGTAGTAGTCATGAAATAGACCTACATATGAAAAATGTTGCGTAATTCATATTTATTTATATATGTAAAATATTTTAAATATGTAAAATATATTTTCATACATGTTATTTTTTTAAAATTGATTACATAAATTGAAGCAACATAAATTTTATTATTATATAGTAATAAAACTGCACTACAGACCCAAAATATAGTAAAAAAAAAAGCTGTTAGCATTAGAAAAGTTTTTCGTAGAAAGAACGATTCGAAGTCTGGTAGTTAAACAATTTACTCAAAATTTTAGTATAACTTTTCAGTCGACTCGATTGCAAAAAATTCGTGATAGATTACCTAAATTAGATATGAAAAAGTTAATTTCTTATCCAGTCTAGTATTATCAAGTCATGTGCGGTCTATGTAACATATCAGCGAGGTCAATTAGATAATCTTGAGCTAGATTTGAAATTCTCTATATGTTATCTGTGGATAATATTCATGTAGTTCTATTTGGAATAAATAATGAATTATTAAATTTGTCTCAGCCGTAAATGGCAATCCTTAGAATCTTATTTAATTGACGGTAATAAATTATTAAAAAAAATTAAAATAACTATTCACTGATAACAATTATAATTGTATATGTTACTTCTGAAGATAAATTTAATTTATTAAATATAATTTGTTTATGAATATTTTTCTAATGATGTGATTATGTGGATTGTTTATTGTTTATTTCCATATTTTGTCATAACATCACAATACACAACATAGTTATTTATCACACTTAATATTTTTTATTCATTATCCTTGCTGATTTGATAACTTTTCGTTTCACTATTGTTTGACGTTCCTTTTCAAATCACATGAACGTTCAGCTTCCCAAGACTAACAGTTTTAGACAATTTTATTTATATAACTTGATTTAATTAAATAAATTATATTATGATTATTTAGTTTATTTAGTTGTCTGTCGTTTATTCAATTACGTTCGCTCTCGAATACAGTCGAATAAAAGAACCTTTATTTATTCATTAAGCAAGTGAATCCTTGTCTATAGTAACTGACGTCACCGAATCTAAATAAATCTATTTAATGTTTTCACCAACATTTCGAACACGATGTGAACGCACCTATTTTCATATCCAGTAGCTGAAATACCGCGGTCTCGCAATTAGTCACGACTTTTATTTAAAAATAATTACGCGAGTTTGTTTTGGAACTGTGACTATATCAATTTCAGATACTTATGAAATGACAATTTGTGCATCGTTTCATGTATTTATATACAAATAAAACATCTCGAATAGAATTTTCTCTTTTGACTCGAAACGAGTGTCTGGCTTGAAAATAATATTTTTGATTAGAAAAACTTATTCCAATTTAAAATTATTACTTTGGAAGGCCACAAAATGACGCAAAGAATGGAAAAGTGAAAGACGGCAGATTAGTATTTGGTTTGGAATCATTTGTATGTTTCGTTCGGCTCAAATGGCTCAATTGCGAGAGCGCATATTAAGCGAATGCATCTGCTCTTACATGTGAATCGTTAGAAGGCGGAGAAATTTTATAGCCAACTTTGCAGCAGGATGTGCCCATACTTTGCTTTTTCATTGCTTTTGGCAACATGGCAGCATGGCAGCATGGCAGCATGGCAGCAGCCAGCTTCCAAAATGCACACAGTGACGGAACACATAAACTGTCCCAGAAGCGAAACTTCCGCTACTTCTGAACTCGCTGCGTTGCTACATAAGAGAGAAAGCGGAAATGTGTATTCCAATTGCGTACGCAGTAAAGTGAAAATGCGATATTTTAACAGGAATGCTGCAATAAGAACTGGGAGGATGATTAATTCGAGTACATACGAATATGTACTTTTAGCAACAGAACGGTAAGCATCCCCAAAAGCGATTTGTATCCGGGCAGCGAACGGCTGTATGGTTTGGAGGTGGTAGGTGGCGCAAGATGTACACATTATTTACTTTGCTTGTACTCAATGTAGTCGACAGTAGTACATAATCAGACTCGTAGACTCGGATGCGTGATGCTGCTATTTGCTTATGAAAAAGGGCAGAGGGAATGGATACAAAGATGCGTTCGTTCAGATTTGTATTTTATATAACGAGTACACACGAATAAACGAATAATACGAGCATTATTTGTGGCCGAGAGCTATAAGTATCCGACAGTTGTTGTTGCGTTTAAAGTTGCAAATATTGAATCAAGGTACATTTATATTTATACTCGTTCATACGTAGTACGCTATGATGATGTACAGATATATTATATATTGTAATGCGATAAGATGTGACCGAATCGTTTATGCTGCCAACAAAAAGCATATTCTCCTCGGGTTACGGTAGGTATACGGAAGACTGAATAACAAACGTATGGCGTCAGCCTTTGCAAAAAGCGACTGAGTAGCATTTGTCCCTGCTTGTCGATATTGTCGGCGTAGTCCAGTTTATCTATGCTGCCAGTGCGAGCTTACATACATATACGAAAACACACATACCGACACATTTACGCAATATGTACATATGGTGTGTACATACTGCTTCGTATTTGTGCTATGGAGAGTAATCTTAGGTGTACATGGTTGGATGGAGTGTTCAAACGCACAAGAAAGATAGTAACTAACAGAAGCTCTGAAGTGTACACCCCCAGGTAGTACATAGCCAAAGGCTGGGCCTTAGCTGTAGTCGCACCGGAACATCAAGCGTGTAAGTTTGCCGAGTACTTTGGTCGAAAACACAAAGGATATACGGAAGTTTTCTTAAATATTGCATTGTGCAAGAGAAACAAATTTAATCTGTGCAAAGACAATTCAAGTGAAAAATAAAAAGTAAAATAAATAGGACAAAAACGGAAATTAACTGTCCGGAAGGATTCATTTTCACATTTAGATAATTCGATTCTACAATTTATTCAATAAAAAATATAAATAACCAAAATCAAATTTCTTCCCGCATTGGCTTATATATAATACTTGTTCTGCCTTGGGAATATAGTGTGAAAGTAAACTTTTTCCGACGGAAAGATTAGATTTTTCGTGATTTACAGTGAGAATAACAAGAGTTAAGTTGGTAATAAGGTTCTAAATCCAGCAGGACAATCATTTGCTGAATTCACTCTGGATTTTGCAAGTAATTTCCGGAGGAAGGTGGGTTATTAGCTCAAAGTTATTTTAAATAGCATATTTGAATGATCCTTTTCTAAATTTGTGTTCCATAGGAATTGGACATGTCGTTCCTTGCCACCTTGGATGCAAATGCTTGGCAGGTAATACTGTTATACTGTACCTTTTAATAAAATCTAATTTGGAATATATGATCAGATATCCGACTTTTTAGGATAATAAAATTCTTTAAAAATTTAATAAATAATTGCGAAACAGTGATTATCATTATAATATAAAAAATATAACATACATATACATATTTCAACCATTATATGACTTATCATATGTGTGGAACCTAACAAGAAGGACAAATAAACAAAAACTGATGATAAATAATGTAAATAAGAAACTTGTCTCAATTGATTTTCAACAAGTCAGAGATAAAAGTTTCATCAATGCCTACTTTTAATATAGTACATAATTAAAAATTTAGGAAACTGTTCTTTCTTACTGTTTACATAGAGCACATGTCTGTTTTTTATTTTCCAAGTGATTAAATTCACGTCTTATGGTCTCTAGTATGAATTGTCAACCCTAATAATTATTTGTTTCTTTGGGCTGGAAAATGCAATTTTAAAATAAGTATTGGAGCAGAGGCCTTTTACGGAGCAAATTTTGCAATAACAATATTTTACGGTCCAAGCCTTTTGAAGTACCAAACAGCGACAACAAGGTTTTGGTTCTAGAAGTAACCCCAAAGTTGTGTAGAAGTGAAACCCAGCGTGATGTGATGATAATATCGACAGTAAACTTCGTTATGAATAAAACTTTCATTTGCGTTCCTAGTTAAGCGGAATAATAATGTTTCGCTTATAATTTAAGCCCACAACTTCAATGTATCTAAATGCATACAATGATTCTTCCCGAAACGCAATTGAGAAAAAGTTATTTAAATTTAATTTTGATGACAGCATTTCAATCGCTTATGGCAAATATTCTACGTACCTGGGTTTGCCCTATTTTCAAACTAAATATTAATTTATTTTTTACATAATTAAGTTCTTGACTTTTCGTTGCACGTTTGTGGTGCATTACTTTTAGACCGACTGTTGAAGTGCAGCTTTTAGCTTTTAGCTGTTAACGGTTTTGCACGTGCCAAATGCTTAGAAAAATATCCAAAGGCCAACGTTCCATAATTAAGATTGCATGCGGCTCAGTTTATAAACAACAAAGTAGAAAATTTCTTGTGACAGTTCTAGTTCAGAAAGAGGAAAGCTTGTTCCTTTCCTGGTACATATGTATGTAGCCTTAGTGGTGGCAGATTTGTTTGTCCACAGAAATCGAACGAATGTGTCTTTGCGTTCAACCGCAAATGCCACAACAGCTTTTCCCATTGATGCTGACTTCGTCTGCATCCTTTTTGCTGCATGACATTTGGCGATTCTTGTTTAAGCGATGCGTTGTTTATTGTCCTTAACCAAACAGGGGTTATCCCTCTTCATGCGTGTTAATATCTGTGTGTGTTTGCCGTTTAACAACTTTTCGAAATTTTTATTTGTCTAGACCTGTCGACCAAATGAAGCGTATAATATATCAAACGCCTTTGAATGAGGGTGACAAATCCTCCACAAACGTTGATTACTTTGTGATACTAAATTCCAGTTAAAGTAAATCAATCTCCTTGCTTGGGTTATTATACTTATTCGTTCGCGACTAGTTCGACTGTTCGTTTTCCAAATATAATCAAAATTCAGTGCCGAGAGGCAAAGCTGTTTATTCTGTAAGGAATTATTAATCAGTATGCTTTTACAAATTAGAACGAATATTTGTGGCATAGAACTTGCAATACGATTACATTTTGAGAATATAAGGCAAGGCTGGATTTAAACGTATTATTTACAACAGTTTAAAAATTAAGCTATATATATATATATATCTGATTGCTTAAATGTAAAAATAGTTATTGAATTTTAAATCACGTTTTATTATTCTTATATATTCTGTAGTATAGTATATATTGTAGTAATAATTTTGTTTCTCCTATAACTCAGAGCTATTTTTTAAGACAAAGTAGAACTACGTTGAAGTAAATCCATATTCTAAGCAATATAGACGATTAAATATTAAGACCACTGCGAAAAGTTCAATAATAAATAAATAAATAAATAAATTTATAAATAAATATGTTAGATCTTAGGTTTAATGAAATATATAATGTCAAAGCCGTTTTTTGAGACTAAAGAGTAAAGCATAATATTTTTATAGAAGTGATTTAATTCTATAATCTACTTACTTTACTTTGTGACATACTTTTAGAGTAAAATGAAAACTTTAATGTACATTTCTTTATTTGAATTCTGCAAATTTTATGGATAACGGCTTAACTCATCGCAAATTTATTGAAATTATACTCCTTTATACTACATTAAATGCAACTGAGCATCACATTGTAGACATCGAGAGCTTTACTTACTTAGGGAGTATTCTATCGATGGATGTGGGTGTGAAAAAGGACATAAATAGCCGCATTCAAAAAGCGTGAGTATCATTTGCTAGGTTGCGCATAATATGATGGAACCACAATATACGTACCAATACCAAAGTAAAAATTTTAAACGCATGCGTCAAATCGTTATGCCTATATGGATCGGGAACCTGGCTTGCTAACTCCAAAACCAAAAGAAGACTGTAATCATTTATTAATCGATGCTTTCGCAACATATTACGCATATAGTGGCCTAGAACGATTGCAAATAAAAAGTTATGGAAAATAACGCACTAAACAAACGTAAACAACGAGATAAGAAGAAAGAACTATGGTTGAATTGGACACACACTGCGTAAGCCTTATGAAGATATCGCGCATGCTGCACTTACTTGGGACTAGGCGCATAGGCAGACCCATAATGAGCTGGAGAGGGACAATTCAGCAAGAGACGGGCAAATCGTTAAACAAATTGAGAGCAATAGCACAATAGAAACCAGTGGAAAACTTTTGTAGACTCCTTAAGCTCCTAATGGAGTATGATAATAATAATAATAATAATTCAATGCAACTATTAAAAGAAGTTATTTCTTTTTGTGCTTAATTTTTGTTGAAATCGGCTTTATTTAAATCTTTTGATCTTTTCTCTTGAGCA